TCAGAAGTTTAATTAGAGCCCGTAGCAGGCCGAGATAGAGTGAGCCTTGTACTCTGAGCAGCTTTCTGGTGGAGGTGGACCCTGAAGAAGGAATAGGGTTTAGAGAAGTAGGAGGAAAGATGGAGGGTGTCTAGCGGAGATGACAGGAGCCAGGGCTCACAGCACACAGGCAGGGTACAGGCTGTGAAGCTCAGCTGCTTAAGTCCAAGTTCCAGCTCTGCCCCCTGCTGGTTGTGTGCCCTGGGCCAATTACCGATGAATCCCTATAACCCCACTTAACATCTGCCTCAAAGACATACTGCGTGGACATGGTAACATATTTGGAACAACACTTTGCACATAGGGTAGGTGTCACTAGGCAGCAAGCAGCCCAGTTTGAAGGCACCAGGTGTGTACAAAGAGGAGTATTAGGAAGTGAGATCAGATTGGGGAATTGAGATCAGAAAAAAAATATTTCTATAGTTACTCATGATCTTTATTAACTGTTTTTTAAAAATCTGTCTTTTCTCTGAAAATTATAGCCTCATGTTTTAGAATTGTTCTTGATCAGGTGGTTTTTTATTTATTTTATTTTTTTGAGACAGTCTTGCTCCATCACCCAGGCTGGAGTGCAGTGGCACAATCTTGACTCACTGCAACCTCCACCTCCCAGGTTCAAGTGATTCTCCTGCCTCACCCTGTTGAGTAGCTGGGACTACAGGCATGTGCCACCATGCCCAGCTAATATTTTTATTGTTAGTAGAGGTGGGGTTTCACCATATTATTCATGCTGATCTTGAACTCCTGACCTCATGATTCGCCCTCCGCGGCCTCCCAAAGTGCTGGGATTACAGGCATGAGCCACTGCGCCCAGTCAGTCAAGGTAGTTTTAAGAATCTCCTTCTTGAGAGATTTTACAATCCACATTGTAGCCACTTTATCTTCTAAATTTTTCTCCTCTTCATTTAATAATGTGGAGGGTGGAAAGGAGGAGTCAAGATATTATTGTCTTGCAAATCAATGTTGCAATATTAAAGAAGATGAACTGAATCAATCATTTTAAATATCACAGAATAATTCAGTGTAACATATGTGATCTGGTTAAACTGGTTTTGATTAGATGCTTGTTTTGTTTAGCTTGTAACGTTTCTCTTCAGGAACTTTTAAAGTAACGTTGCCTCCCAAGGGTGTATATAAGACATAAACAGAGAATAAAATGTTGCCCTTAATTCCAAAGGTCAAGGATAAGGTCTGAAAACTGGTAAGAAAAAACTTTAACAATGTTTTTGGCTGAAATCAGGGTATTTGTTATTCTCTCTCAAGGAATGACAAATAACGGATATTTTAAAGCAAAATAGATCCCACCATTCTTTTTGATAATATAAATGTTAAAAAATAACATGTTGCATTTTTAATGTTTCCAACTAGTTGCTTTTATTTCATGGGGACACATCCTGAATACAGTGTTCTGTGGTACAGTTCTTAAAATCCACAGTAAATATTGCTTTTTTAACACAAGATACAAAAAAATCTTCCCATGGACAAGAAAATATTTCCATATAATTCAGTCATTGGCCAAAATAAAGACATAAATGCTATGCAGAAGAGCGCTGGACATACATAGTGCTACTCACCCTCTTGGTAATATAATGAAAGTAGCTCAGAACCAAGAGTCAATAGCTTCTGAATTAGTTTGCTAGGGTTGCCATAACAAAGTATCACACACTGAGTAGCTTAAACCAGAAATTCAATGTTTCATCATCGTTTTGGTGGTTGGAGGTTCAAAGTCAAGGTATTGGCAGGGTTGGTTCCTTCTGAGGGCTGTGAGGGAAGGATCTGCTGCAGAACTCTCTCCTTTGTGTGTTGATGGCCATCTCTTCCCTGTGTCTCTTCACATCCTCTCTCCTCAGTGCGTGTCTCCTTCTAGAAAGATATCAATCATACTGGGTTAGAGGTCCACTCCACTCCACTCCACTTAATTAGCTATATCCACAATAGCCCCATTTTCAAATAAGGTCACTTTCTGAGGAACTGAAAATCAGGACCTCAACATATAAATTTAGAGGGGACACAATTCACCCCATAACAACTTTGAGTTCTCATTTGTAAAGCTAAGATAAAGGCATCTTCTAATATTTTGATCATCACTTGTTTAATTTTCTTTTAACAAACATTTATAATTACTCATCTAGGTAATAGATATCCAAAGTTGAAAAAAGTACCCTCAGGAGCACACAGCCTACTCAGGCCTTATTTGTCTTTTGATTCTCAGAATCTAGCATAGTGCTAGACATGAAGTATGGCTCTATAAACATTTGACAACTGGTAAAACTAAAGAAGGGAGGGAGGATTGTGCTGACTTTAGATCTTCCCTAGTGACAGAAGAATCATTGCTTGTTATTTCCTTAATGAGTTCAGGTGTTGTATAGATCTAAAATTAATGATTCTAGCGAATGTGAACATCTTAATTTAACTATGTAGATTGGATGCCTGGTGTGAATTCTTCAGGGGGCAATATCCTGATTTATCTTGGTTGATTAGACAGTCTAGGCCTAAAGTTTCTGGACTCTGATATGATATCAACAATAGATGTGATCTTGGAGATCTGGTTCTACCCTTTTGTTTTATAAGTAAGGAATCCCACCCCAGAATCACTGCCCACAGTCACATAGCCAGTGCCAGGGAAGTCAAACCCAGAATGGCCTCTCCTCTTCCACTGCCCTTTCTATGACATTATATTGCCTCTACTTCCTACATGACATAAACAGCTAATTTCTCCCTGCCTGTGAGGGTGGGAGAGAATAGACAAGGAACACAAATACCAGTCCCTCCAACTGCTGCAAATCCTCAAATAGATCCCAATGAAATGGACAGGCAGAATGAAGGCAGGATGTCGGAAGTCCATCTGTTATGGCTCAGGTATTTTGCAAGGGACAGGTCTCAGCCCTAAGGCTACTCGGTGGAGAGCTCAGCCTCAGGGGCAAGAAAATAGGTGGACAACTTCATTCAGGGTTTCAATGGACTTTAGAGAATGATGCCACCCCAAATCTCCCCCTCTGGACTGAGGGAGATGCTTTGTAGCAAGCCATTCTTCTTTGTTACATACCTGGGACACTGAAGGCTGTGAAAAATAATAACTACCACAGTAACTAACATTTGGTGACCACCACCTTGTGGAGGACATTGTACCAAGCAGTTGACAGGCATTATCTCATTTGATCCTCACTACAACCCTATGACATAGGCGCTGGTATTATCCCTGTTTACAGAAGAGGAAACTTGAGAAGTTAAGCAACCTGCCGAAGGTCTTAGAGCCTGAAAAGTTAGCCCACCAACCAAATCTAGCCAGGCTTTCCAGCCTGCACAAACATGGGTCAGGTGGCCTAGGGCAAGTCAGTCAACCTCTCAGAACTTCACTTTGGGATGTCAGCTGGGGATAATGATACCTGCCTTGCAGATATGTCATGCAGATTAGATATAATACATGCAAAGCACTTAGTACAGAGTTTATATTGCATCAAATTGTTCATACAAAGGAGCTATTTTAGCTTTCTCTTCCTGTTGTTCTCATTTACTAACTAAAAATTTGTGAAGGAGGACATAAGTCTCTTTATATTTCAATTTGATTAAGTATGAAATGAGGGCACAATGAGGCCACTGGGAGGCCATAAGATCGTGGACACAGTAAGAGACCCTCAAGGACACTTTGCTTATCACAGTTTCGTCCAGCCAATGGAGGACAGGCTATTATCCATGTCATAAAACTAGACAGGGGATATTTATGGACTGGAAAATGGAAAGCCTTGTTTGACTTACAAAGAGCATTATTCCTGGGTCCCCTTAAAATCCTCAGGGGAAAACTGAGCTCACTTCTATAATAATACAACAGTCATAACATAGACCAGTTACAATGTACCAATGCCAGCATCTTGCACACATTGTCTATCTCATTCTCCCAGCAACCCCATGAAATTTGAATTCTTTTACCCATTTCTGTAGAGGAGGATACAAACCTAAGTAAGCCTTACTCATAAGCTCATGATTAAAATACTGTACTTATTAGAAAAATCTGCTTGCAAGGAAAACAATCAATTCAATGTACTGTAAGCAAAAGAAAACTTTTATGATTAAATAGTATTTTACAAATTCCTGAGTAAGGAACCAGAAGTAGGAATGGCAAATTATCTAACTATTCATCTATCTATCTATCCTATCTATCTATCTATCATCTATCTATCTATCTATCTATCTATCTATCTATCTATCTATCTATCATCTATCTATCTATCATCTATCTATCTATCTATCATCTATCTATCTATCTATCTATCTATCTGGCTGTCAATCTATCTATCTGATCTATCTATCTATTCATGTATCTACCAACCTATCTCTTTTTGTCTTTTCCTCAGCCTTCTTGTCCTTTGTGTAGAGCACCTCTGTACCCTTCCTCAGCTCTTAAGTAGAATTAGCCACACCATACTTCTGAAGACATATGCTACTGGTCTAGCCTCTCACGAGGACTTCTTTTCAAGTAGCCAAGAGAATCTTATTAGTCCAGCTCAAGTCAGGTGTCTTCCAATGTTTGTAGTGGTCCAAAGCATGAACCAGTCTACACTGTAGAGCATAGAGAAAGGGATTGATGCTCAGGGGTAGATCATCACAAGGAAAGGTATCCTTTCTAGCTATACTGCTTTCCTATAAGATATTCAAGCATTTTTTTTCATTCCAGAAAATTCAAACTAAGCATGGGCTGTATTAATGCAAACATTAATTGATGAATGTGTAATAAAGATATTCGATAGCTAAATAAATTGATATAGGCAGAGAAATTAGTATATCTAAAATGTGGAGCAGCCAGGGAAGGTAAAATACACCAGACTAGTCTCCTAGTGGAAGCTTAACATGTTGTTTGAGTTTAATAGCAGGACTGTCTGATAGAAATAAAATGAAAACCACATGGGTAATTTTAAACATTCTAGTAGTCACATGTTTAAAAAAGTAAAAGGAAAAAAGTAAAATTCATTTTGGTAATATATTTCATTCGACCCAATATCCACGATATTATCATTTCAACATACAATTAATATTAAATATTTTTAGTGAGACATTTTATATTTTTGTACTAAGTGTTTGAAATCTAATGTGCATTTTGCATCTCAATTTGGATGCAATTTTTTATTGGAATTATCTGATCTGAATTTAATTTCCCAAAGTTTACAGTTGAAAAAGTAGACCCATAATTACATGTTCATTATTTTATATTATCTTGTTAGATATCAGAGATGAAGTTAATTCATGGCAGAATTTCCGTGTGCCTGAAATTCTATCATTGTTGGGGGGGAGGGGACAGAAGATGCTGACTGTGCAAACCGCTAATGACAAAAGCAAGCAGGTTGTGTCCTCTCCTGGAAATTGTTGTACACTGTTGGTGCTAGCCAGGAGACAACAGTCCATGTAGACAGCACCTAATGACAGGTCCATGGGCTTTTGCAGAAACCAGGTGGGTAAGGGTCCACGAGTGAAGTCATGGAAAGACCACCAAGCCTAACAGCCTCAATTCTGGCACCAGGGAAAGTCCCCTGACAGAAAATATAAGTTTGAGTTCTCATACTGTCTTCTCTTTGGTATTGCTGGGCCTGGTAGGGCCTCGACTTTTCTTATTCTTTTTATTCATGTTTTGATTTAGGGAAGGAAGAGACCGCTCCAGCTCCCTTTTCTTGGCATCCCAGTCTTCATCACGCTCATCCAGAGGCAGCCCCTTCTGGTGGGCAGCACGGCGGTGGTCCTGGCACTCGGGCTCTGCCCTAGGAAAGAAGAGAGGGGCTTCTGAACTTGGAGCAGGAGAGCCTGCCCCAGACTTGAAATTGGGCTCTCTTCACAGGCTCTGCATACAGCAGTTCAGTTGAGAAGGAAGGAGGCCAAGTTTGAGCAATTCCAAGCATACATTTAGGGAAGGTCTCAGACACTAAAGAAACTACTTGGAGGGGAAGAAAAATTGTGTGACCTGAGTAAGATGTTAACAGACTCAAAGATAGTCATTTAGCTTGAAGAAAGTGCCACTAATTCTTGAAATGCTCACATGTATAGAGCACCCTGCATATTATTGGAAGATTGTTTTCCTTTGTTTTTAGTTGTTTTTTTTGTAATTATAAAAGTGATGTGTGTTCCTTGTATAAAATGTAAAAGTACAGAAACATATAAGGAAGAAGATGAGAATGACTCATAATCACATATATATTATATGTATGTATGGATTATGTAAAAATATAGATTATTGTAAATGGATAGATGGATGGATAAATAGACATTTAAATAAATAGAGCATTATACACACATAGACAATGGGAAATACACACATATACAGTTTTGTATGAGGCAAAAGTGAGTATGTGACTTGCTTAAAGGCACTTGGAAGAGTCACTTTACAGAAATAAAATTTGAACCAATATGAGGACAAATGAAACTTAAAAGGGCAGATAATGGTATAGACAAGGCAAATAGCATTTTAAGTGCAAACCATTATAAAAAGCACAGTTCATTCAAAGGACAGAAAACTTGCTAGTCCTTCAACCCAAGCTAGAGGTGATGTTTCAAATTTCAGACCACACCAGTCCCTCCTCTGCCTAGTCACTCTCTGCCTTGAATTAGTGTTATTTATGTAAACAAGTTATTTCTTCTCCCAGGCAGTTAAACTTCTGGATGTCTAGCACTATATCTGGTTTATTTTAGGTCCTTTTTAGTGTCTAACTCAATGACACACACACAGTAGAATGCAAAAATGTTTGCTAAATGATTGGTTTATCACTTAGGGGACTGAATCAAAAGCCAAATTGTCTCCCAATAATTCCTAGGATATTCAGAAAATGACCACATAGTGTCTAGGTTTCTTTTGAAGTTCTCTTACATCCTTTTTCTTCATCACCTATCCCAGGAGCTAACTTACTCAAAATGTGAATCAATAAGAAATTCCTTAAGTAATCCCCTTGCCTAAAGTCTAACCGTCTTCAATGCCACACAGTACCACTGCCGACTCCTCTACTACACAAGTAAATTGCTAATGCATCTATTCCAGCTTGTGAATCCCCTGATGAGCTCATACTCTTCTGCTTGCCTGGCTTACTGGGCTCACTGTGGTTACCCACCCCCTCACCTGACCTTGTCCTCCATTCCTCTCTAGTGCGAATGCTCTGCTTAGGCAGGCCATTCATCCCTACACTGTCCCTCCACTATCCCTCGCCTTCTCACATATACACACAACCTATGCACATTTCCGTGTTGGTGCCTTCACTCTGAATCAACAGTTTTTCTCCCTCCTCCATCAGTCCACTATCTTTCAAAACCCAGGTTAATTCCCCCTTAATTCAGGATTCTTCTTCCTAAGCCTTCTGTCAGAAGGGAAGTTCTTAGTGGGAACTGATAAATAGAGATGACTAACACATGATGTGACTGACCTTTGTTGTTTTTGCCGGCTCAACACTGTCTGCCTACTTTTCTTGGCAATAGCACTCCCACTATTTGGAGGAAAGCACTCCTCCTGCCTTTCAGTTATGTTGGGGTCATATTTCATGTTCATCCCTGGTCACTAGGGAGGGGCTGAGATTACCTAGAGAAAGTCAGTAGAGGACAGCCAGGGACAGGACCCTGAGGGATGTCAGCATTTAAAAGGCATGCAAGAATATATCATGAGATTTACTCTTAGAAAAAACATATCTGAAAGTCATAAGAAATTATCAGGGAGGTAAAAGAAAACTAAAAGAGAGTAGCATCAAATAAAGCAAGGGAGAAGAGTTTCAGGAATATTAAATACTGAATTAAGTGGAGGTAAGATATGAATTGAGAAGAGGCAATTGATATAGCACAAGGAGCTCCCTGATGACTTGGGTGACAGCTGATTTGGTACAAGGATAGGGGAAGAAGTCCGAAGTGTGGGTGAGGGATGAAGAAGTGGAGACAATTACATAGATAAGCTTTTTTAAATAAAAGCTTCCTCAAATGTAATGTTTCAAAGAAGTAAAACTATCATTATTAATACTACTACAGTTATACACACACACACACACACACACACACACACACACACACACATATGTTAAAGTTCCAAGGCTATATATGACTATCAAGTAATATCAGTAAGCATTCCTATCATAACATTCAAGCAAATGAAATAACGTTGCCTTCTGAGAGAAAAACATATTTTGAAACTTTTACAAGCAGACCTAAAGACAGTTGACATTTACAATGAGGCATACATACTTTATGAAAATCTATTCCATTCCCAACTTAGTACAAACTCAAAGCTAATCTAATTTTGATATTCAAAATGCACCTCTCCCCTCTGGATCAAAATGAAATAATAAATCCTTCCAATTAACAGAGAACTTAAACCTACTCAATTTGATTGCTAACAAGTCAGGGGAGGGACATGTTGTCCTTCCCCCAAATTTAAAGAACTTAATGTTTACCATGATCTTAGATTTTGCAAACACAAACTACTAAAGAATTGAGGTGTTTCTTGATTTATATAGAGAAATTCTATTCTACTGGGGAGAAGACAAAAAGGGAAGTTGTTTAATGGGTATGGAGTTTCAGTTTTGCAAGTTGAAAAAGTTCTGGAGATCTGTTTCACAACAATGTAAATGTCCATAACACCAATGAACTGTACACTTTAGGCACAGTTAATACGGCAAATTTTATGTTATGAGTTTTTCATCACAATAAAAAATACAACTACTAAAAAATTCGATTTTTTACACAAATTATTACTGTAAAACATGTTGGACACTCTGAGAGTATGAGTGCTTTTCCTTTTGGATTAAAATAAAAGTAGATTAGCTTTCAAGTAGCTTAGACATGTAGGGAAGAAGAAAGACAACAGAATTCAGAAGGGCCTCTGACTTTTTGTGTGTTTAATGATATCTATTTGAACATGCTCATAGTCCAAAAAGACGTCATAGGGAGGCGAAAAGAAAAACACTAAAAATACAAGAGAAAGAGTAAAGATGTAACAAAGAACACATGAGTAATGAATGGTCTTCCAGAAGACACAAAGGACTGAATCAAGAGTCTATATGGAGGAATAACACTTTACAAAGGAGAGACAAGATGGCAAGAAGGAACTGATGTAAATGTTTTTATGTAAATGTACATAAACCCTGCAGGTGTGGGAGTTGAGCAATGTGTAACCCATGGCTTCAAAATTCTTTCTAATGTATAAGGAGTATCTCAGAGACAGACTGAGGTGATGGGGCTTTGTAATTGCCAATGAAGGAGTAGGTTAGGAAGAGATAGCTAAGCTGCTCTGAGGGCTCAAAGAAAGGTGGAAATATTCAAACTAGTGTTGATACCATATATTTACATGTGGGATTTTACCTAACTGAACAAGCATAGAAGTGGAGAAGACAGACATTCATCTAAGGTTGGGAATTTTGGGTTATATGCTGGGTTGGGAATTAATAGCAGGAATAGTGGGAAGAGAGTGGAAGAACAGAGTCTATTATGGTACCCAGATGGTAGAAGAAATTTAGTGAGACTTTCAGAAAGGTGACAGATTAGGAGAAAAAGGAGAAGTTCAATGACAAGAGACTTTGATGAATTCAAAGACCTGTGTGATAATCCAGGAACTGATAAAGAGAAAAGAGCTATGGTCACATTATCGCATGTTAGGATTTTAAAAGTTCAAAGAACAATGTCTGCTGATGCTGAGGTCCACTGCAGATGGAGATCATTGAATGTAGGGGATGATGGCTGAAAGTGGGGAAAAGTGAGTCTGTGAGTCAGGACTTAAGGTTCTGCTTCTTTACTCTCCAAATCATCTCGATTGTGATACTGGATATTTTTAATGTAAGACATTACCTTTAAGAGAATGTCTCTTGGGTTACTTCCATAGATAACTAATTGCATCATGGCAAAATTTTCACTAGTTCAACTTTCTGAATAAACTAGATTTTCAGGTTCTTTGGAGGGCACCCCATCATGAACAGCCCCTGTAGATAGGATTGCTGTCTACATCATTCGGTTTCCAAGCAACGATGCCCTCACTGATACTTTACTTTCTCTTGTATTAATTGCTTGTCAAAACAATCAAATTCTAAGTTTCCAAATTTTGTCCTATCCCTCTCAGAGCTATAATTGTTATGCAAATTATTGGTGCTTACTTATGTTTCAGTGCTTGGCTGAAAAAAATAAACAGGAGAGAGATAAGTTCTTTGGTGTGTGCGTAAGCAGGGCATTCACAGATGAACGAAGAAGTTTTAAAAGATAGGAGTGTACTGAGAAATAGAAATCTAATTCACCTGCCTCATTTTAAATATGAGAAAACTGAGGATCAGGAAGCTGCCTTCACTTGCACAAGGTCACACAGCTAGTTTGGATGCCTTTCGGAAAGCCGAAGGACGTGATTCTTGCACCATGTCCCACCTTCAAACTTGGTATCCCAATTCTCTTATCTGAGATAATTTTTGTGTAATCTAAAACAACATGTTAATATAGCTTTGACCCCCAAACTAGTCTTTTTAGTGAAACATTAGTAAAAATAACTCAACTAAAAAAATCAATAAAAATAATAGTCCATTGACTGGATTTCCTGATTTCCTTTTCATTGACCTGAGGCCACAGAATCAGCCAAGATCTTGATCACAGGCTCCTTTTCCTCTGCTCCTTCTATAGGTGGAAAAAATACATAAACTTACTTTTCCAGAAATGCCACACAGGCTTTCTGCCCATAGATCTGTGCAATCCTCTTTGGTGTGTCTCCAAAGAAGTCGGGGGCGTCGATGGCAGCATGCAATGCATGGAGAGCTTTGAGTACATTCAGATGGCCTGATTCCGCTGCAAAATGAGCTGGAGTCCAGCCCACACTGGTAACCAGGCAGGGCCTGGCTCCATATTCTATCAGGAGCCGTATCATCTCCATTTGCCCTTAGATGTACCAGGAAGAAACAGAACGAGGTTAGGATAAAGATGTCCTGAGTGGCCTGAGGCCAGGGCCAGCCTAGGTAACACAGTAGAACGGGAAACTTTGCCTTTGAGGAGCCTCCAGTTTCCTATCATCATCCCTCCCTCTCTTTTCCCTCTTCTCACCAGGGACTCAGTGCCCTACATCACCCTATGAACCTTGCTCCCACCTAGGGCCTGAGCCCTACAAGCCTTCCCTGTCCTCCTTCCAGGACACTCCCCTCCCTGGTGCATTGCCGCAGGCCCTGCATAGGAATCTTTCTTTCTCTCAGGCCACACAACCTGCCTATTGGTAAGGCTCATTCTGCTTTTGGCAGTCTCAACGCTGAGTCAAAACCAAATATTTTAAGTCATACTTACATGACAAGTAGCACAGGTTAAGAGCACAGGCTTTCTGGCTGATGTGATTTCATATCCTGACAGTCCCACTTGTAACAAGTGGCACCTCAGACAAGAAACAGATATCTGAGGCCAGTTTCCTCATTTGCAACTTAAGGATATCACCCCTTATATCATTGAATTCTTGTGGAGTGCAGGTGAAATCACAGACATGAAGTACACAACACAGTGCCCAACACATAGCAAATGTTCACTAAAAGGTGCTTCGGTAAAACTACCATCACTTTGTACTTAGATTTTTGCAAAAATATCCCAACTAATTTCTCTGCAGCCAGCCTTGCTTCTTGTCAACCCATTCTTCACACAGAAATCACAATAAATGTTTAAAACATAAAGTTGACCACAGCACTTTCTTACTTAACATTCTTTAATGGCTTTCTATTACCAAAGCCTTTGAGAAGCCCATTGTCTGGATTTTTGCCTCTATCCTCCTCCAATTCTGCAACCGAGCTATGTCAGGCATGAGGGATTTGGTGATGAACGAAACAAATTCCCTATCTTTCTTTGTGATGCTCTATTCTTGTTGAGAGGGCAAAGGACTAATATTAACTGAGAGCAGACTACATGATAGGCACTGTACACTCATTATTTTACTGAATCTCCATCACAGGGCTCCAAGGTGGCATTCCTGCATGTGTTAATTAGGTGAATAATCTGAGGCCCAGAGACAGTAAATAACTTGCTTGAGGTGCTACAACTAATAAGCTGTGATGTGAGGATTAAAATGTTCCATCTGGGGCCAGGCTTGGTGGCTCATGCCTGTAATCCCAGCACTTTAGGAGGCTGAGGCGGGTGGATCACTTTAGGTCAGGAGTTAAACTGGCCAACATGGAGAAACACCATCTCCATTAAAAATACAAAAATTCGCTGGGCGTGGTGGCACACACCTGCAATCTTAGCTACTTGGTGGGTTGTGGCAGGAGAATTGCTTGAACAGGGGAGGCAGAGGTTGTAGTGAGCCAAGATTATGACACTGCACTCCAGCCTGGATGATAGAGTGAGACTCTGTCTCCAAAAGAAAAAAAAGAGAGAAAGAGAGAAAGAGAGAGAGAGAGAGGAAGGAAGGAAGGAAGGAAGGAAGGAAGGAGGGAAGGGAAAGAAATAAAGAAAGAAAGAAAGAAAGAAAGAAAGAAAGAAAGGAAGGAAGAAAGAAAGAAAGAAAGAAAGAGAGAGGAGAGAAAGAAAGAGAGAAAGAGAGAAAGAAAGAAAGAGAAAGAAAGAAAGAAAGAAAGAAGGAAATAAAGAAAAGAAAGAGTGAGAAAGGAATGTTCCATCTGACTCTAAAGAGATGTTTCTTCCACTCCCCCACATTCATATCCTCATGAATGAATGGTGGACTCAAAAGGACAGATCTACTGAAGGATTGCCCACTCACCTTTGCTTGCAGCCCAGTGAAGTGGGGTCCGGTCATTCCAGTCTACATCTTTGTAGTTTGGGTCACAGAGACCTTTCTTCAAAATCCTCTTCACTAAGCTGTGGTCTCCAGCAGCCACAGCTTGGTGAAGCTTTGTCATGTCTGACATTTTGGTCAATTCCATGACAGAAAACAACTGTGGAAGAGACATGCCACTTAGGAAATTCTATGTAACCCTTTATTCTAGAGAGTAATCCCATAGACCTCTGTATCATTTACTTCCTTTCCTGATGCATGTATTTGCCTCTAAGTTTGCCTCATATGTGTGGAATGAGTGTGTACTTAAACCTTAGCTCCTGTGGTTAGTGTGTGCCTGTCTCCTATCCTAAAACTCCTATTGGTGGCTTCCACTGCACACAGGATTATGTCTAAACTCACGGGCTGACACACTGCTATCTGGCCTCAAACCACCCTCCAATGCTATTTCCTACTTCTACTTCAGAGTTCTAGTAGTGTTCCCTTACGTTACCTGTATAATCCTGTGCCTTTTCTTTCTTATCTATAAAATGGATATAATCTGTCAGGGTTGTTGTAAGGATAAATGTCAATTCCTATAAAAATTTATATTGGACACAGAGCAGGTGCTCCATGGAAATTAATGTTATTAGTACTGTTACACCAGTTGAGATGGACATGCAAACACACAAATAAATACCTAAAAGTTGTTATTAATGTTATGCTCAAAAACGACAGTGTAGGAAACAGCTGACACCTTAGCATGAAGCAAGGCAGTGACACCAAACTGGACCTGTAATCATGCCATTCACCAGACACTCAGAGTAAATTTTAAAAAGCCAGTTACATAGGAACATCTTAAATGAGAAAGATAGAAATATTTTTATTAAATCTTAATCTTTGATTACTTAATAAATGTGTTTTTAGAATATTGTACAATGAAATGTGTGAACATTTAGAAAATATTTATCACCATATAGACCAATATTTTCCATGAAAAAGGTAGGATGTTATGAAATCATGCATCAATAAAGAGGTCCATTTGATAGACTAATGGATTTTAATAAAACAGTATAGAAAGTGCATTGATATCATTTCAGATTCCACATTGCAACTAACCTTTAAGACATTACCACTTATACAATTTTGTTGTAGTATCAAATATCCACAACTATCTGAAAATATTCCTCCTTTTTCAACTTTATATATATAATATATACATGTGTATATTATATGTATGCACGTATATTATAATATACATGAGTACATATATACATATATATGTATATATAATATATATGTATATATATTATATATTATTATATATGTACATGTGTGTATACACACATATTAGATATAATTATATATGTATATATGTGTGAGTATACATATCATATACATATGTGTGTTTGTGTGTGTATCTCTCTATATATGACCAGATTGTCTTTATTTACTTTAACCAAAACAACAAACTGAATGCAGAAGCAGATACAAGAATCCAGCTGTCTTCTATTAAGTCAGATATTAAAGAGATTGGGCAGGGGACAGTAAACCTATGTGACTAGTCACATTTCTTTTGTTTTGGAAAATATATTTATTTTAATAAAATGTCATTTATATTATGTGTAATAAGTTTATTACAGCCTTTTAAAAGAACTAATCAATATTTAAAAGTTTTCTCAGTTTTAATTTCCAATAGAGTAAATTGATAGCTATAACCCATATAAACAAAAGTGCTCTGAGGCTCACAATAATTTTTAAGAGTATAAAGAATCTATGACAGCATAAAGGTTAAGAGCTGCTGATGTAAACAAATAAGGGGCTGAGATAGAAAACGAGAGTGGAGAGAGTGCCACTTGAGATGGGACCATTGGGACTGTCCCTTATCTCAAGATTTAAGTTGGGATCACAAGGAGAAGCTGGAGTCAACTTCACAAACTGTGACGAACAGCAGCCCCTGGGAACTTGTTAGAAATGCAAATTATTGGGCTCAGCCTCAGCCTTACTGAATCTGAAACTCTTGATGGGGGCCCAGCCATCTTTGATGTAGTAAGCCCGCCAGGTGAATGCCTTGAAACGTGAGAACAGCCCTAGGAGAGAAAGAAAAGTAAAGGTAATTAAAATGCAATGCTCTAAATGCCCAGGGGACAGAGAGAAAGAGCAATTCACAAAGACTAGGAAGTAAAAGGAGCTTTCTCTAAAAGTAGTCTAAGCTGGGTCCTGAAGGGATGAGTCAGAGACAAATTGGCTACTGGTGGCGGTGGAGGATTCCCCAACTGAAGGACAGCATCTGTGGCTGGAGTCACACACTGCAAAGGGCAAGTAGTTCCTAATGTGTAAATCAAGGATCAACAAACTTTTTCTGTAAAGAGCAAAATAGTAAATGTGTTTATGCCAAGAGAAAAAAAAAGAGGAAAAAAAAGGAGAAAAAAATTATGCCAAGAGAAAAAAAAAAAAAAAAGAGGAAAAAAAAAGGAGAAAAAAATTATGCCAAGAGTCTATTGTATAAAAACTCCTGCCCCACCCTGCCCCACTTGCCTGGGGTGAATCTTTCCACCCTCTTTGTACCCAGGAGCCCTCAGCTGGAGATATTCTTAAGGATATGAGGATAGGCCTAAGGAGGAAGGGCCTGGTGGATGAGATGGTCAGTTTCACTCCACCCTAGTGATGCTCAGATGCCAGTGAGCTCTCTCTCTTCCTGGAGAAGTCATCTCCAGTTAGCAGGCAGGAGACAAGGCAGCTCATGGAACCACTCACTCCCATACTAAGATTCCACTGTTCAGTACCAGCAGTTGCCCCCAGCAGAGTCCCCATTGTGTAGGTGGTGACCAGCAGGGCCTCGGGGAGTGGCCAGGCACAGCTGCGGACTGCTGAGAGGGCAGCAGGGGCAGAGGGCATTGTCTGGGCTTGCTCTGAGAGTCTCACTATGCTAGCCCATGGAGGTTCAACACCTTATGTAGTGAACCACGGGCCTACAAAAACAGGGTGAGCCAGATTTGTCCTGTAGACCCCAGTATGACAATGTCTGATGTATCCAAATCATTGGAGATCTTGTTAAAATGCAGATTCTGATTTAGTAGGCCTGGAACCTGAGATTCTGCATTTGTAACAAGTTCTCACAGCACTACTACCTCACTTACCACACTCTAAGTAGCAATGTCTCTGTGACTGAAAAGTAGGGTATAGGCTGGCAGGAAGCAAGACTGGAGAGCTGACAAGGGAGTAAAGATGTGGCAGCTGTTCCCAACATAGGGGCTACCTGAGAATCAGCAGTGGATTTTTAAAAATACAGACACCTAGGCCTCAGTCCAAAAGGAAACAGAATCTTTGGGTGGGCAGGACAAGGATTGGGCATGTTTTGTGAAACAAGTGCGCTCTGTACATACTATGTTAAGTAAGAGAGAAGATGACACAGACTGCATTTTACTTTTAAAACTCATTTTTATAGAAATCCCTTACACTGGAGTGTTCGATCACTGATAAAATAGTAAACAAAAATGCTAGAGTGTTTTTAATCTGAAGGTGCCGCTAAAACAAAACCATTTTAAAATCAGTATCTAGAAGTCGTTCGCTTCCTAGAAGGCTTTAAGCAGGTTTATACTTCAACCAACCCCGTTTGTCCCACGTTTGAGTTCATGCCAAGATTCCATAACTTCCCAGGGGTGAGTTGCAATTCAAGTGGAAGCATCGTGCAACAAAATTTATTTCCAGAGAAATGGAAAACCTGATTCTAAAAAATCATATAGAAATGCAAGGGACTCAGAAGAACCAAAACAACCTTTTTTTTTTGAGACAGGCTGGAGTGCAATGGCACAATCCCGGCTCACTGCAACTTCCGTTTTCTGGTTTCAAGCAATTCTCCTGCCTGCGCCTCCTGAGTAGCTGGGACTGCAGGCGCGCACCACCATGCCCAGCTAATTTTTTTGTATTTTTTAGTAGAGACGGGGTTTCACCATTTTGGTCAGGGTGGTTTTGATCTCTTGACCTCATGATCTGCCCGCCTCGGCCTCTCAAAGTGCTGGGATTACAGGCCTGAGCCACCGCGCCCGGACCTCAAAACAATCTTGAAAGAGAACAGTTAGAGGACTCACACTTGCTGATTCCAATAAGCATGTCAGGACAATTCAGTGACAAAGTAATAGTCTTTTCAGCAAATGATGCCGAGACAACTGGATATCTACACATAAAAGAATGAAGCTGGTCTTCTCCTTCACAGATATTTATTCCTGTGTTTTCCTCTAAGAGTTTTATAGTTTTAAGTCTTACATTATTTTGAGTTGATTTTTATGCATGACATATTTGTCACAAAACAATTGAACATAAATGTAGGGAATTTTTTCTGCACTATCAACTTTACTCCATTGCTCTAAATATCTATCTTCATGCTAGTACTACACAGTCCTGATTACTGTAGCTTTGTAGTAAGTTTCGAAATGGAAAAGTCTGAGTATTCCAATGGGCTATATACCCAAGAGAAGAAAAACACATATCCATATAAACATTTGTACATGAATGTTTGTAGAAGCATTATTTGTAATAGGCAAAAGTGGAAACATCCCAAAGGTTTGTTAGATGATGAATAGATGAATAGATACACAAAATGTGGAATATCCATATAATGGATTATTATTTGACAATAAAAAGAAATGAAGTACTGATACGTGCTTTATAGATGAACCCTGAATCAACATGCTAAGTAAAAGAAGCCAGTAACAAAAGACCACATATTGTATACTTCCATGTATGTGGAATGCCCAGAATAAGCAAATCTAGACAGCTAGAATGTATATTACAAACAGCTTAGGGCTGGGATGGAGGCTGGGGGGTGGTGGGGCGGAGTGACTGCTGATAATTTCAGGATTTCTTTTTGGGGTGGTGAAATGTTCTAAAACTAGATTAGATACTTTCACAACTCCAAAATGCCAAAACCCACTGACTTGTATACTTTAAATGAATCCAATTTTATGGTATGTGAATTGTATCTTAATAAAACGGCTTTTAAAAAACAAATAACTATTAATTAGAGGCTTTCTACAAAGCAAAAACAACATTTGTTTGCAGAAAATGTATAAATTCACTAGCCTAGCCTTGACTACTGAAATGTATCAGTTGGCTCTTTTAGCAACCAATCCTTGTGAATCTGATTAAATGCACTTGATTTCCTATCTTTCTGGTAGAGACACATCTACCAGAAAGATAGGAAATCAAGTGCAAAGTAGTCAATAAATATCAGTTCTAATACATGTGAGTGATCTTTAATAACTATAGTAAATAAGAGAGGGTAATATAAAAACACTTACTGTATGGTGTGAAATTCGAGGAGCTCTGTGCTGGCAGGCAGTCTTCACCATCCAGAGTGTTGTGTCCATGCCATGGAAACTGACTCCTCCTTCCTCATGAAAGCCAGCCAGTCAATTTCAGCTTCCCTAGTTGTCTGGTGAGGCGGGACTCCCTGTCTGCTTCACACTCTAACACTTCAGCAGTTTCAGCCATCTTTTTTAGTCCAAATGTGTTGGTCCTTAACAGGTTCTTCCAAATAGTATTTAATAATAAAAAAAATCAAATAAAAAATGTTGTGAACGATTGCCCACATAACACTGTGACAGAGGTAGGCTGCTTAGTGACCACTTATCTATAGGAGATGTGAGATGTGAGAACTGTTGAGGAGGGCCAGACGCAGTGGCTTACGCCTATAATCTTAGTACTTTGGGAGGCCGAGGTGGACAGATCACGAGGTCAGGAGTTTGAGACTAGCCTGGCCAACATGATAAAACCCCATCTCTACTAAATATACCAAAAATTAGCTGGGCATGGTGGTGGACACCTGTAATCCCAGCTACTTGGGAGGCTGAGGCAGGAGAATCAGTTGAGTCTGGGAGGCTGAGGTCAGTGAGCCGAGATCGCGCCATTGCACTCCAGTCTGGACAACAGGGTAAGACTCCTTCTCAAAAAAAAAAAAAAAAAAAAAAAAAAAAAAAAAAATTAGACCTGTGGGGGAGTGAGGACGGTGTGGGTGCCTCACATTCAGAACCAGCTGTCAGGTCTTGAGCAAGTTCCTTAACTTTACAGAGCTTTTTTTTTTTTTTTCTCTCACCAATAACATGAAATGTTAACATCTTTTTTTTGTGTAGCGCTATTAAAGATGATTAGAAAACACTTGGCACAGGGTAGATGCTTTTGCCAAAAAAAATAAAAATAAAAAATTCTAGGTGCTTTTTTTTGTCTCTTCTTTTTACCTCTTGCTCTAAGCAAAAATCTACCATATTTATGATGATGTTGATCTAAAAGACCTTTCTTCTTCCTCTCTTTCTACCTTTTCCATCTCTCCTTCCTTTTCCTTTTCCCTCCCTCCCCTCCTCTCTCTCACTCTATCTCTTACTCACTTTCCCACCTCCTTCATTCTCCATCCATTTCTCTCCCTGCCTTCTTCCTACATATATTTAGTAAATGCCTTATATCTGTCAGACACCACTGTACTGGGCCCTGTGAAGATCAAGATACCCATTGTTCCTGTCTTCTTTGAGCTTATGGTCTAGATAAAAATAAACAAAAAACCAAATAAGTGTACACAAGTAGACTCACAACCTGTATAAGTACCATGAACAAACAACATACAATAGCAGAGAACACCAGGAAAGGAGTATGGGCAACCTTATGGGGTGATATTTGAGGGTTTGAGGGGGGACCTGGCACAGGAGAAGTCAGACATCTGAAGAGCTAGGGAAGCTGATCTGGGCAGAGGAAGGGGAGGAGCTTGGCTTAGGTGAAGAATGAAGAAGAGGAGGACACAGCTGGTTTATGGAATGTGGGGCAAGTAAAAGGTGAGATCATTCCTGGTCTTCTAGGACATAGTAAGGAGTTTGGATTTTATTGCAAGTACAAAGAGTAGACATTGGAAGCACTTAAGGAAGAAGAGTGTGCAACTTTCATTGTCTTAAAAGATTAGTTTGACTATTATGTGGTGCATGGAGCAAAGGGAGACAAGCCTGAAGACAAGCAGGAAGACGGCTGAGGAGGCTTCTGCGGAAGTCCAGAGAAGAAAGGATGGTGACTTGGTGAACTGTGGCCACAGAGATGAGAGAAGTCACTGAAATTAAAAGTTTTTTAGGAGGGAACATTGACAGGAGTTGTCAATGGATTAGACATGAGTACTGGGGGGAAAGAGGGAATCAAGGATGATGCTTGGGTTTCTGGCTTGATGAACCTGATGGAAGGTGGTGACATTGGTGGTAGGCAGTGACTGGGACAGGGCCAGGTTTGGGCAAGAAAAGGACATTACAAACGAAGGGTTCTGTTTCTATGTGTTGAGTTTGGGATACTTATGAGACACCCAAATATCAAGTAAGAATCCAGAGTTTTGTGACTTTGGGCTAAAGATACATATTCTGGAGTTATCAGAATATAGGTGACATTTAAAGATATGAATATATAAGATAATATAAGGATAACAAGTGCAGAGAGGAGACCCAAGCTCTAAGGCCCTAAGATTTGGCAGCAAAGAAAGAATTACAAAGGGGATAAAGAAGCACAACTCGGAGGTAGGAAGAAAACCAGGAGAATTGAATCTCACAAAAGCCAGGAAAGAAGAGTATGCTTAGAAGGAGTAGCTGTCAACCACGTAAAGGGGAGTAGAGTTTAATGAGTGTCTATCACAAGCCAGAAAGATACATATGAGACCCCTCCCCCACCCTCAAAGAGCTCATTCTTATCACCCTTTGTAAGATTCATAACAGTTCCAGTTCAGCTTGATTTCATTGAACAAAAGCCTGATGAGTAACTAGCACGTGTTGATGCAAGGGTATAGAAATAGAGGCCCTGCCCTCAAAGAGCTTGTAATAAGGGACAGATGAAAAAAGTTTCAAGCATCTGGGGCATCAACTTCTGTTACACCCTCTCACAGCTTTCCTTCTCCTAATAACAGGTGTCTGACATCTAATTTCTTAACAAGCCGTGAGCTGGCCAGAGAGTGAGGCAACAAAATGGAGAGGCCCCAAGGATTTCCCACAAGTCAAGAGTGAGCTACTCCACTGTATTAAAATGAGGAAGAGGAAGGGGAAGAGGAAGAGGGAGAAGAAGGAGGAGGAGGAGGAGGAGGAGAGGAATAGGAAGAAGGAGGAGGAGAGGAAGAAGGAGAAGAAGGAGAAGAAGGAGAAAGAGGAGAAGGAAAGGGAGAGGGTGTGGGAGAAGGAGAAATAGAAGAAGAGGGAAAGAGAGAGGGAGAAGGAGAAGGAGGAGGAGAAGGAACAAAAAAGGTGCATATTGTAGTATGCTTTGAATAAAGGAATAAAATTTTGACATAATACACTGGTCTATATGAAAATAAGGCCAGAATAAATCTTGATCTTTTGAAAATATTAACTCTTTGTTAATTACTAGTAGGGTCTGCTAATGTGATACTCAGTTTGTATGATACATGTTTCTCAGTGCTCTCAGTGTGCCCTTGTGACTTAATGAAGATCAAAAGTCTATAGTCAAGGGTCTCTTGCCTATCCTGCAATAGGTCACAGAGGCCACCTGGGACAATATCTATGGGCCAGCCATTGATCTTTCTTTTGGTCACGTTGGCTCAAGCACTGGGACTAAAGTTTCTGGATAAGATGACTTTCATGAGACCTTTTCTCCATAGAATCAAAGTCATTTTTAGGTCAGGAAATAACTCTAGAAATAATGAATCCAAAACTCATATCAATTGAGAGTCACGGATATTAAATTATTTGCTTAAAGTAATACTGCTACTGTGTTTTAATTCATCGCTTACCACCTCCCCTACCCAAGCTAAGCTCAACATACAGAATAAATACACAGCAACTACATGTTCGGGGTTCAGGGTTTAGTTGAGTTGGTGTGGTCTGGGAAGCTCTGCCACCCTCTTGCACATTAATCCACAGTTGCTGACTCGTGCTCAGGACAGTCAGACACGATTCTCTTCTACCCTCCTCCAATTCTAAAGAAGATGATAATAATACCAAACCAATATAGGCTTTGTTCTAAATGCTTTAAAACACATTAACAAGTTTATTTGTGTGGGGCAGGTATACCTACTATGCCTACTTCACAGAAGCAAAGACGAAGGCATGAAGCAATCAAGTAACTTCCTTAAGTTTACAAAGTTAGCTGTGGGACAGTTCTGGTGATTTGGTTGCAATATCCATGTTCTTGCTACACATTGCCTCCTGAGATGGATCAAACTTACATGCGAAAATTATTGAAGTTAAGACTTCTCTCCCTGGGAAATAACCCACTTTCAACTTCAAACCAATATGTATGAAAGAGGCAATACAGTAAAGGGACACAATGGTGACTTGGACAATGGGAGTGGCAGGAAGAAAATGGAATATTAATTGGATGCCTTTGTACATCAGACATTGTTCTAAGTATTTTATGGATCTTATCTCATCAATCCTAACACCAAGCCTGAAATACAGATAATTTGCAAGAAAAGAAACAGGCTCAGCTGTTCTGTCTATGGAGTAGCCAGCCATTCTTTTCTTTCTTTATTTCTCTCCTAAAAAAAATAAAAGAAAGAAACTGAGGCTCAGATGGCTTAAGTATACTCAAAACAGGTCTCTCTACTTCTTTCTTGTTGAATGTTATAGAATGACAGCTGATGCGACTTGGTGCATGATGGCGTTACTACCAAAGCTCAGACCCTCAGGCAAGTTCTAGAATTCCCTACACGTGGGACTAGGAGGGTGAGAGTTGTGTTCCATCTGGGTTTCTGGATTATTCATTCCCTTCTGTCTATATCCATTTTGCTGGAGCTTTCACAGGGCCTCCTAGTCAAGGAGTAGGACCTGAGTTGACACCTTGGACCACCCCTGGGAAGAGACTGGAGAAACAGCATGTGCTAGATCTAGGATTCCAGCACCGCTGCTAATTAGCCCCAGCTGGAGGTGTGTGTCAATCTATCATGAAGCTTGTAAAATCTTGTTCTGGGGAATTAGGATTTCCAAGTGGGCCATGTTTCCTCGAAGGTGTTGTTTTACTAGCAGAGACCAGCTTCAAAGACACAGCTATGCCTCTCCTCTCAGTCTCTTCTGGGTGCTACACAACCTGAAGGTGGGCCTACATAGCTCCCTCATTCTGTAGACCCTGACTCTTGTGTGGGGTCTACAGGAGGGCTCTGTCTTGGTATCTCATATCCCTCCCACCTAGCAGCCCTTATCCAGACATGTCATTCTTTCAGATAGGACCTATTGCCCCTGAATCAAGTTACTTGAAGGAGTCTTTTTGGGGGATAAATTCACAACAAATATTTCCTGAGCACCTGATCACACATGTGAAAAAGATCACAGCTCTCTTTAAGGAGTTATTAGTCTATTTGAGGAGGTAAGATAGTGCGCAACAAAACTTAATGGAGACTATGTTAAAAGCTGTAAGAGGGGCACTAAAGTACTTGAAGACTGGTATATAGGAATAAGGGGGTATGCTGGACATCCGCCATTTGTCTCATCAGATCCA